TTGAGGAAAGAAAGAAAAACACAATTTATATGAAGAATATCAGACAAACTGGTTAATGAGTATTGTCAACATAAAGAGCATTTAAGATTAGAAACAGCACAAGAAAAAATGACCTTCCTTGACATTGCACAGCTCATTATGAATAATAAACTTGATAGAGGTTTTCCCAGATTTTACAAAAATCCTAAATATTTACATGATATTAACAGTAAGGCATTATGAAGCTGAAAAATGCCTATTTTATTAATATAAAAATATTTGGATCAATCCTTTGGGAAGAGTGAAATATCTGTTCTTTCTACAGAAACAATATTACAAAATTATCATCACATGAAAAGTCAATCAAAAGCATATATAAACCAAAAATATAATGAAAAAACAGTAATTCAAAGATGGGGCAGAGTAATTGATAGAAACATTAGCCCATATTTTTATATTTTGTAATACTTGTGATATTTTTCACCTTTTTAAAAACTGCAAACTTGTGGCCCTTTTTCATTCTGAACAAATATTGACTTTGGTATTGAGCTGTAGATTTGTATTACTTAAGGGGGCTTTAAAACTGTAGCCCCACTAATCTCAAAGGTACTGATCAGATCTTGGAATTTGAGTATGTGTAAATGTTAGTGACTCTGTTTTAACACATGAAGCTATCTTTATGTTACAGATATGGGACTTACTCTCTCAAGTGCATCCCCAGCACTATGATTCATAAAAACATAGTTTTTAAAATTAAAATAGTATTGAGAAAGCTAAATTCTCTACTTGTGATTGCTGCCCTCTAATTAAACAAACAGTAGTTGATTTTAAGGAATGAAAAAATTTTACTGGTAAAAATACAAAAAACTTGAGTTTGAATTTTTTTTCCTTAATGACTATATGTATGTATTTATATATAGTTAAAATATATATGAATTAAATGGTTTTGATCAAAAACTGTATTTTCCAATATAGTCTTAGGCTCAAAAATAAAATTAATTTTTGGTTTGATAAGAACAGACCCAGGCCATATAATAAATAAGTGACTCAATTATCACAAGTATTTTTTAAAGTGGAAGTTTTAATTCTTGCCTATTAGCAAAGCCCTGCATGTAAAACAATGAAAATTATGGGCAAGAGGTTATTCGAATTAACATTACCCCCTACCCTGCTCCTCTTTAGTTTCCATAAATTTTGAATGCACTTAATGCTGCTGAATTGTACACTTAAAAATGGTTAAAATAGTAGATTTTAGTATATTTACCACTAAAATTTACAAATGGCATGTAAATATTTCATTTTAAAAAGCTTTAGTGGTTTGCCCAGCTTCTTTATTATTTGGAATAAACTTTTCATGAGTCAACATCACAGATGTTGCCATGATCAACATGCTTTGTGCTATAAATTCCATCATCTTTCTGGTGGACATAAACCATAATGTCTAGGAAAGCCAGTTGAAGAACCTCAGGTTTTGGCTGCCTCCCTATTTTTTCCCACTTATATCCTTAGTAAATGACAAAATCATTTTTTTTTTTTTTACTTTGACTGTGTTGTTCCATTCTCCCCAAAGCTTTTTATTTATTTATTTTTTTTTTATTTAATTTTTTTTTGAGAGGACATCTCTCATATTTATTGAGCAAATGGTTGTTAACAACAATAAAATTCTGTATAGGGGA